AATTCTCCATAGCAACCCTTGGATGATAATTGTAATACAAATGGGCTCCAAATCTGCATATGAGAAAGTACTTGACTTAAGCATCTGCATAACTGCTCTGACATTTCAATAATGTCTTAAACAACAAACAATTCCAGATTGCACAGCAGTCATAGTGGCTTTAATCTGATCCATGAAAAAGCGAGGCAGAGCTCAGCCTGGGTGCTTGAGAGGCTGTAGAACACCAAGCTGCAGAGTGGGAGATCATTTAGGTTTACTCAAGACAAAAACACTCGGAGCTGGAGATGTATGAAGGGGAAAGAAAATTGTCAATGCTTTGGTGAAGGTTGACTCAGAAAGGCGTCCAGGCTGGGATTTCAAAACGTCAGCCTCCAGGGTGAAAACCACGTGGGAACAGGTTACTACTGACTCCAGAAATGGGTGATCATGCTTGTTTGTCTTTTGCTGACGCAACATTTTCCAGAACAACAGGACTATATATGTCTTATTATTGTGCTTCATTTCTGAGCAATACTTCTCCACTCTGTGTGTCAACAGCATAATCCTGTTTTTTTTTTTTTTTTTTTTTTTTTTCCTTGGACGATTAAAAACCTGACAGCAAAACAACAGCAGCAGCACTATTATAATGTCTCTGCAGAGACATTTGGGTGGATACATTAGATCTGCTGGGAGTCTAAGAATAATACTGACAGCATAAACAAGAGCTGATACAGACGGTAAAGCCTGAGTGAACAAAAACCATGAGACTTTTTATCAATAAAATATTAGGCTCCTTAATTATAAGTTATAATACATTCTTACATGCTGCAGATAAGGAGTTATGCTGGAATAAAACAAGCACAACCAAGTTTGAATCATTTAGAACAGAGAATCAAACAAATCCAAATACCAGGTGGGTAAACACTGCTGTAGTTGTTCAGAAGAATCTGAATCAATTTTAGTTTTTTATGGGCATAAAAAAATAAATTTGACTTTGGTTTCATATATTGAATATAAATATAAAGATATATACTCTTTAGAAGAGATCAATACATTTAAAAAAAATGCCATGACTATTTTTACACGTTTAACCAATATTTATTTTTGCTAAAAATAGTGCAAATATGCTTATCTCGTTTTACAGCAGTTTCACTGCATGGGGGAAGAAACACTGGATAACTGCTGCTGCCACTAGTCTGAAGGAGCCTTGTGTGGAGGAGGGGGTTCACTCTATGTATGTTTTTGATGATGAAATTACATTTTAACATGATATATGGTTAAAAAAATCAACTTTACATCAAAACTCCCTTTTTTCCATACTCTGAACTGAAAAATAAATTTTACAACCTACATTCTGATACATCAAACTATAACAAACGTCGGTGAATCAAAAGTGAAATAAGACTTCAAAGATGTGACAGTACTTGATGTTTCACAAACGATGCTCCATTTCATCATAACAAGACATACATTTTTAGATACACCGTCATATGTAGCAAGTGAAAGAGTAAGAGCAGCTTAAATGTTGTCATTAGGTGAATCTTTTTTACTGAGCATTAGCACTCAAATACATAAGCAGTGTTTTAATCAAGCATTCAAATGTGTTGCGAAGTTGCAGGGAACATTTAACACAGTGCAAATTAATTGCAGTAGTTACACATATAGCACACCAACAAAAGAGAAACTTTTACTACAGGGATATTTTTGATCAAAGGCGTTTTGAACCAGACTGAATCAGTCAGGTCAATATTAGAGAAGAGTCCCATAAACACACCTTTAAATCTGATAGCATGTGTCCAATGGAGCAACGCAAAATTCATAATCAGTGTAAACTTTTAATCAATGTAATAAAAAATAATCCCAGCATGTGTTGGTCAAATGAATTTGAAAAACATTAAAGCAGAGAATCAAAGTATGGCTGTTTATCAGCAGCTTTGTTTTCCCTCCCATTAAGATGCACCTTCTGTTTTCTTCAATATAAATATGTTTCCCATGCATAAGTTTTGTGGAGGTGGCAGATATTAAGCTAGGAATAGCAACTTGATGATCTACCAGATACGTTTTATGTGCTCTGCTGGTCAGAGTTTGACGATGCGCGAGAAACAAATAAATGATTATCAACCTGCTTCATGTATCCAACAATACAAGTTCACAAGACTCATGCACCTACAATGTTTATCAGTTTCCAAAGCAAAGAAAAGACATAGAAGCTCAGGATCCAGCACATATCCAGAAAGATGTCAGGCCATATGCAGCAATGCATCTTTTATGGAATAAATAAACACCCTCCTTGGCGGCCAAGCAGTTGAAAAACAGATCTTCATTAGTATGTGGCTATGTTTGTATTTATACGTCTGTGGATATTCTGCCTATGCGGGCACATTCCTGCTTTCTCAGAGATTAGGCAAATGGCTTTGAATATTAAGACTGTAACCAAATTCACTGGCTGGGTGCAGAAATTAAGCCTGCATCGTATATATGCAATAGCAAACTGACCCAATATGCTGCAGACAACGTGCCCAGGAAAAGCTTGCGTTTGATATATAGAAAAGCTCTGTTCTTTACAGATAAAAAAGCTATGCCTCTGTTGAACTGCATATCTACTCTGCATTTTAAATGCTATTTTAATAACTTTTACACAAATTTAAATTTACTTCTTCCAAGATACAAACAGTTCCTAATGTCATTCCCAAATGAGAAAGTTTAGTAGAGTCAAAATTGGCAGCTTATTTGTTTTCAGTCATTATAGTAACTGATTTCAGGGTTCGTTCAGTTTGGTTTAAAATATGAAGAAAAACTACAACTCAATAATCCAAGAGTTAGACAAATGATGCACTGAAAATAATAAGACATAAACAAACAAATTACCTTCATGTGATCTGAACTTTGAGGGAAAACCAAAGAGAAAACACCTTTACAAAAATATCTCAATAAAAGCTTAAGATCTGAGCAGGAGACGTTTCTGCTGTCAAGTGACTGTGGTAACAGCTACACTGCTGCACCACCTGTATCCATAACAGCTCATCCCTGCTTTTACATTAAAAACAGACAAAAATGGCACCATGAGGTGACTGAGAGCAATTATCACATTCAAACTGGGATTTGTTAACACTGCTCCAAAGCATCTTTCTGATTACAAGTAAATAATGTCATAAGATGCATAATAAAACATTTATGAGGATGTGATGATCACATTTAATGATAGTAAAAGCAGAGCTGATTCTCCTGTTAATAATACATACAAGCAATTAAATTGACCTCAGCAAGAACCGACATCACATCAGCCTTTGGGGTTTTGTTTATAACTCAAAAACAGACGGTTACCTCACCATTAAGGACTTTATCGCTGTTATCACACACCTATCCTAAGCCACTTTCACTTGCATGTGAGGGAAAAGCTCTAAAAACTATCAATATTGCAAATGGAATAGAAAAAAAGTCTGAGCCGACTGTAGGGCACAAACCCCAAACATGGATAAAGTCCATGTAGCTGAAACCGAGGCTCCCTGATTTTAAACTGTTGATCTAGCAATCAGAGTTTCTCAGCTCTCATTTTTGGCATGGGACTGATTTGGACTGGAGTCCAACTCTAGGTTAAAATCTGATGCAATTCAGAGATGTGAAGGAAGGCTACAGGGCTCACAGAACGCTCAGTGTATTCAGATTGTTGTGGCTGTGATCCAAAGACAATTGCACCAAGCACTGAGCAAATCCTTCAATCCACAGACTCATGCTCTGAAGCTTCTTAATCAAATAAAGCCATTGGCTTCATCACAAGTAATCTAAGCCTGCAGCCTCCATAGGCTGGGGATTTTACACAGCCAACAATCTCCACACAGGAATGATCACAGACTTTCTTCCACAGAAGAAACATTGCAAATTAGCAAAAGTCAGTTTTTAAAATTCTGATTAGTTTTTTGTTCAAAAGAGAAACTTATGCTAGAGCTAAATGTAATTGACCCAAATGTTTCAAGCATATGTAAACCATGTCAACCTACTGGAAACAAATCACATAAAGTCTCTAAAAACTTTACAGGTATCCTGCTAAGCCACAGTAAGCAAAGATAAAAAGAGAAAAATCCACAAGAATTTTTTAAATGATTTGTAAAAATAGAAACAATCCAAATAAACCTGCTCCTCTATTGACAAAAACTGCCATTACGTGTTTGCAGTAATTCCAAACATGTAATTACTGTCAAACTTTCAATTTGGTGGTGGATTTGCCGGCGTGCTTCAATGTCCTGCTGTTTGACGCAAATCCATTATTTACATCCAGTTTTCTGTTATTGTAATTCTGTTAGTTTTACAAGATGTAATAAGATTCACCACATAAAACTTTTCCACCTTCGTCATGTCAATAGCTCTGTTTCCACTGACAATATAAATTCACATTTTGAAAATATAAATATATGGTTTATAATAAATATATGGTTTATATTGTGGCACATATGATTGTGTCACATATTTTATTTATGTGGTTTATTTATATGATTTCTTTCCCAAAACTGCAATGGAAACACTTTTGCATCACACGAGTCACATGATCAACAACTGGATGTTGCCACTGGAGCAAAACCACGACATTTGAAATAGAAATGCAGCTATATGCAAATATTTACCATAAAGTATTTTAATTCCTCTACATACTCTTGGAGTAATTTTGGTAGGCCAGCCACTCCTGGAAAATTTCACCACAGTTCCATGTTCTCTCCTTTTGTGACTGTTGGGTATACATTCAATCTATAGGAAAAGTTTCATAGAACAGGAAACTCTAGCCAGGTGACTTTTTCATGGCATTAGGTTAATAATTGAGCTTTTTTAAAGCAGTTGTTGGAAGTCATCATACTTGTACAAAACTCAGTCTGTAGATCACAGCCTCTGTATTCCTGAAGGCAAACGGTGAATTAAACGCTCCACCCACTGCTACCAGTTCAGCTTTTTTTTACATCCAGGCTGATATAAATTATGAGTCAACCGCGTGAGGCCCTGCACAACCTGAGCCGAGTAAAATAAAGTCGTACCTTCACAATAAGTAGAGTCCCCGTGGATGGAGGCATAGCCGCTCTTGCATTCACACTCTGCTTTAGTATTCCTGTTTTTACACTCCGAGTTTTCTCCACAAATGAGTCCCTCTGCGCAGAAGTCATAACCTGAAAGAGAGAAGCAAAGGGAGTGATAAAATTTGCTCACTCGAGGCAATGAAAAGTTTTGTATAGACAGGCAAATACAAATGCAGCTCTGTGGAAAGAGACACAAACACTTTTCATCATGAATGACATTGAGCCTTATGTATATGTCTATACAAAAGTGGTGCAGTTTTAAAGGCTTTTCCTTTAGAGGAAGGATTCACAAACGGCAATAAAAGACACAACCGCACAAATTGTTGCTTGCATGCGACTTGGTTGCTTATCCCACAAGGTGAAAATTTGTTGCTCTTTTGCTCCCAACAATCTGCTATCTTCATACTTTGTTTTGCTTCTTCAGAATAAAACTTTATGTCATTAGAAAATTGGCAGGACAATCAATATACCAATGATGGAGATTGTGTGCAGAAATTAAATCTCAATCAGCAAAAACATCATGCCTGCAGTTAGGTAAGCCCAACCATAGAAATGTTGTTACAACACAAGCTGAGAACCGTAAGACAGGAAAAAGTTTCAGCAATCAAAACAAGTCGAATTATGTCATAGACTGAATCGCCTGTAACTTCATCTGAACCTGACTATCAAATTGGATTGTATTTAAAGGTAATCGATTTATTTAAAATAAACTCGATCTGATTGGATCTGAAATGAATATTTTTATGTTCTAGAATATCTTGTCTAATGGTGTAGGCTTTTCCGTCAAAACTTCCTTTTTGATGACTAAACTATAAAAATGCATAAATGTGAACAGCTGACTTGGGGATTTAGTCAGGATGCATTTCGGTTCATGAGAGCAAAGAAAAGCAGGAGAGAATAAAATGGTTAATAGAATTGGAATTCCAAGTGCCACAAAGATTTTTCCTCAAGGACAATTTGACTTGAAACGTACAAGGTCATAATGTTATGGCAAATGTGCTGCCTGTTTTTTTTTTGTTTTTTGTTTTTTGATCTGCACCTCTGCAGACAGAGCAGGCACATGCACAAGTGTAATGAAACAGATAGATGGACCGAAAATTAGTCTGACAGATGAGGACGGTGGCAGACAGACAGAGAGATGATTGTGTCTCACTGTGTAGATGCATCTCATCCTGTTCTGTAATGAGTGACAGACAGGCTGTGCATAAAAGCCCTAAGAGACAGAGCAGCCAAAGAGCCTGAGCTTCAACTACATTACTATAACCCCATAATTCCATCTCTAAAATGGTGCACAAATTTAAAATAATTGCTTATGGAAGTGTGTACCATCTATATGTTGGCCTAAAAAGTTGTGTTTGTGTGGACACAAGTCCCTCATGATGGTTCTTGTTCGCTACTGCAGTGAAATAATGAAGTAGGAGTACTGCAACGACAGAGCCTGTGTGACCATGAATGTCCCTTCCACAAACCAGGAAGGGAAAAATGCATTTCAGAAAAACTGTGAAGTAGATACTACACTGAAAAACACAAAATTGTATCCAATATTCTTGTCTAGTTTTTAGCGCAAACATCTTAGTGCACTTGAAATAGGAAAAAACATACAAGTAGTTTCAGCAAGATATAGGAGATTGTTTTATGTCAATTCGCTAAAACTGATTTTAAAAAGTATCCACTGGCAGATTATTTCACTTGTAACATGGGAAAAATGTCTTGTTATAAGTAAAATAATCTAATATTAATAGTTTTTTATGAATTTTAAGGAATTATTGACTTAAAACAAGCTCTGATATCTAGCTGAAAAGTTACTCATTTCTCTTAATTCAACTGTACCAAGATATTTCCACTGGGATCTCGATCAAAATTACTTTGTACGATTTTGTTTTGATTTGGAAATAATGTCCTGCATTCTGCTTCATTTACGGTGGATAAACACACACAAGTAGGGTGGGAAATAGAGGGTTTCTAGGAAGGTAATATTTAATTGCAAAGTCTTATCATATAAACTCATGCACTCTTCAGTCTCCTGCTGATAGTTCCTTTATTCAACCCATTCCTTCTCACAGCCATCCATTCTTCTTCTCCCTTCCTTTGATTCTTACATTTTTCTCACCACCTTTAATTTTCTAATCATTCTCGTTTATTTTCTTTCATCTTTTCCTTGTTTTTAAGTATATTTTCCTTTCAATCACTATAAATATTTGTTCATCTTTCTTTCTCTTATGCATGCGTTCTCTCCCTTTCTCAAAATTTGGTGTGTGTGAGGCATATTGCCAATCTTATCAAAAACAAGAGCACAATTTTCTTCCAGCCAAACTTGCCCTGTGTTTTCTTTTTTTCCCGTAATGGTGCCTAATGGTATCATAACTGCAGGCTGCATACAGTTTGTTTATTCAATGTATTTACTGACAGACTGGTGCCTATTTACCTTGTAGTAGTTCCCTGCCAAAGCAGCAGGACCCAGGCAAATTGGCATAGCAGGTGCTCTGCAAAAGACAGCCCAATCTGCTCTGATAGCTATCTTAGCCAAAAAAGAAACAAAAACAAAATACGTTCACAGGAACGGAAAGGTAGAGAAATATTGCGAGAGTCCAGCTTAATTAACATGAAGAGAGGGTTGCTTTCACTACTCTTTGTGGAGAACACTGGTGCACACAGATCCAAAGAGAGGTTGAGTTGTGGATGGCAGAAAGATTGCGGTAAATGGAAGCCATACCTCTGCAAACATTGCAGCATCTGCCCTCTGGTAGGATCTGCTCACCGGTGGTGCAGTTAATCTCTGGACATGTTTCTGTAACTTTCACCATCAAGCCGTTCTGCAAGGACAAAATACAGGCGGGACATTATACTTTGTAATGCTGGGGTCAAAAACAAGAAGGTCTAAGCTGTAAGGGTAACTTATTTCAAATAGAAAAATGGAGACATATAATTTAATCTTTTACAGGGTGGAAACTTGCAACCCAAAGTCATATAATCACTTCAAACATTCTGTCTTAAGCCTCCGAAATAAGTATAAATATGATAATTATTCCCTTTTCTTGTATGTTCATTAATATTTTGTAGGTTGTGAGTCTTTAGAGATTTCACATGAAGATTTCAGTAGGCGTTGCGTTGAGACTCAAGGATAAAACATGTTTTCTTTAACTTCTGAAGATAAAAAGCACATTTATTGCAGCCAGTTTTGAATTAGACCGATTTTAAATGGTTTAACAATTGGAATAACTTGTATTATTTTCTACAAAACATATATTATTTTAGAAATTGACAATCACCAACACAACAGGCTAACCTATTAAAAGCATTTAGCATTGGCTAAAAAAAGGGGAAGTGCTAATCTCTGTATTACTGTTAATAAAAGGGGATTCATTATATAACAAGCAGTCCAACAACATCTTGTAAAAGCTTTTGACATTTTGTCATTTTACAGCCATAAATGTTAATATGTACTGTTTAGGGTTTTATGTGATCATTTCAAGTTGTGAATCTCTGAAGCTCCTCCATGTTTGCCATTTCCTCGGCTGCCAGTGTCGATGGACAACCATGTCTTGATGGCTCTGTCATATTGTAAACAAATATATGCCACACTTTTCAGATTTGTACAGGTGGAACTTAATTCACTGAATCACCCTCCCAGGTGGGCTGGTGTTCGTTTAAAACTGGAATGTTTCTTTGTTCAAGGTTCTCTTCTTACTCTTTTTCCACTTCTCTCTCTCTAACTTTTTCCTCTCCTCTCAGATTTCAGTCAATCATTTCAGCTTATTTTAGACTCTGAGAAACTGTAAAACTGTAGTTTTACTTTCTAAAGTAAATAGGTTTTGTTGATTATTCTGGGGCCGACCAACCCATCCTTCAGTTGAACCTGTTGCTGCGTTGTGGGGAAGCCACCCACGAATGGAAGCAAGAATCAGTCGTTCTTAAGTCATCCAAAGTAAAATTAGTCCATTTCTGGCTTGACATGTGGATACCTGAAGGATCTAAATCATGTCTAAAATAAAACTTTAATCAACATAAAGTTAATAGTAGCACCTATTAAAAGTATCCTCTTCACATCCATCATTTTCTGTTCATAATTTCTCCTGCTTCTGTGATCATTTTTGTAATTATCGCATTTTAAAAAGGGATCAGGTTACTTTGTCAATATTTCTGAACCTATAGGTAATCAAGCATTGCTCTTTTTGCGGTTATTAGTTATTGGTTTAGTTTTAACAACTGTCCTCCTGCGGATGAACAAATGTTTGTTCTTGTGTCAATTCAATCCATCACTGATGGCAACTTATTGGAATCCATATGAATTTTACACCATTTGTTGTCCCATAATTGTCTGTTTTACATGGAGATTTTATGGAAAACATTCACTTCATGAATAACTTCTGATCATAAAAAGCTTAACTTTGAATACAATTAAACAAATTCAAGAATTGAATTAAGGTGGTTGTTTGCTTTATTATATTGGTCTATATTATAAAATCCCAATGCATACATTTGAAATGTCTGGTTGTAATATGGCAAAATGTGAAAAAAATATTCAAGGGGTGTATGAATGCATTTCAACATTAATCTGAACATTATGATTTTAACAGTTTAGAAAAGTATTAAACTTGACTGTCAAGGAGAAAATGTGACAAAACTAGAATATTTCACTCCTTTAGGACGTTAACACAAAAAAGAAAAATGTGAAGTCTGACTATATTGGTCACAAATGGAAAATGGCTATCAATACTGAAACTGTTAAGGCAGAGATGAACTTGCAACCAAAGCAAGGACACAAAAATAAATAAAAACGGCCTATATGGGTTTTTAAACAACGATGCACTGACTGCAGCAGCCTGGCTGGTATGTAAGCATGTAGGGAGTCCTCAGTGATTTCTCAAGGTCTTTCGCCCAAAATCAATATATTACTTTTGTCCTTCACAGCTCCCTTTCATGGTGTATCTTTCATAACT